GAAGGGAAGAGAGGGGGATGGGAACAGGAAAGACAGTGGAGTGAATGGGACAGAACTTTCCTATGTTCATATATGGACACATGACCCCTGAAACTCCACATCATGTCCAACCACAAGAATGGGAAGCTATGTCCATGTATGTGGGATAGGTCAAGATACACCCTACTGCCATGTATAGCTAAAAAGAACAAATAAAAAATTATAAAAAAGAAGGAGCCTGGTACTGGGCATCATTCATAACTTATTGGACATAACTGTCCAATGCTGTCTTAGAAACAGCACTGGCAGGCCAAGGGGCACATCCCACAAGACACAAAGAGAGCTGGCCTTGCTGAGATGGGAAGATGCAAGAGGAATTTTAGTAACAGGAAAACACTGTCCCACAAGCCCAAGCCAACAGGGGGACCTTCCTCGGGCCTCCTCCCTCTCCCACACCTACCAGAGAGCCCCTGAGGGTCACTAACTAGAACAACTCCTAAACCACCTGGGGAAAGTTCAGGGTCAGAGACAGAACGGGGGATTTCACCTGGAGGCCAGCAGTGAATCAACAGCAGGAAGGGGCTTACCAAAGCCACCTCCTCTCCCCAGGGCTCCCACCAGCTTGTCACTGGTCCCCTTCAGCCTGGGGCAGGCAGGCTGGCAAGCTCATTGGACTTGACAAAGACCCACTGTGGAGGGACACTGCAGTCACAAGGGCCTGATATAGCAAACTGACCCCTCGCCTATCATGCTGGACCCAAGGAACTTATCAACAGGATGCAAAGACAAATAAATACAGTCACGCTTAAGTGGCCCAAGGTACACAGAGACATAACCCATGATATCAAAGATGATCTGGAAAGGGAGCCACTGGGCCAAGAGACACTTTCGCTTTTGAGAAATAAAATGTCAACAAGCAGCACTGGGTACAGAGGAAACAAGCAGACGGAAATCACTCTCAACCCTGCCACCAGCAAGTCCCTTAAACCTTTTCTGACCTGGTCCCACCAACCTGTAATCTGGGTTAGGCCAGAGGCCTCGCCCGGCTCAGATCCCCGGAATCCAGCAACTCCAGGGTGACACCTAGCTTAGCAGAGGACTCAGGGACACCTGTCCCAAGACTTGGGCCAGAGACAGTTCTGTCACATGGTCCCTAGGTAGGATCACTGCTGGAAATGAGAGAGGGACCCCACAGCGGAGCCTCAGTTTCCTACACTGTCTACAACTAGAGAATTGGATTAAACCTGACTGCTAAGATTTCCCCCATCGCAAATACTGTATTATCCTATAAGATAAAGAAGGCATCAACATGCAAGGTCAAGTCCAGCAGGAGACAGATCACCAGAGACACGCCCACTGAGCTCTAGTCGGAATCTCTTGGAAGACGCAGGAAAGCCACTGATTCTAGTTCCATCCCATTTTCCTGCAAGATACGTTTGTTTCTAAAGAATCTGCATTTGTGTCCCTACTCCTGGGTGGGAGGACACATGGCTGAAGCTGCATGACTGGCCTTGGGAGGTGGCCCTTGTCCTCTCTGGCAAGAGGGACCACGCCCACCCCCAATCTCCGTTCACTCCCTAGACGAGGGCTACCTGGTGTCGGAGATTTCCATGACCTGCCTAGCCATCCCTCTAATGGTGCTTGTGGATTGTGCCACAGTTCAAAGTGCCTTCCACCTGTTCTGAGTCTCTGTTCTGAGCCGCCTGCATCTGAATTCAAAGAAGGGGTGCAGAAGCAGCTGGAAGAGAGAAACCAGAGTGGCAGAGTCCCGCAGCGATCTTTGGAAGGGCCAGTGGAAACTGCTGGGCTCCTGATCCATCTCAGGGGGTGAAGGAAGGGCACACCATATTGGTCACTGGCAAGGAAACCGAACAGCAGCATCCGGGCTGAGAGGTGGCTCAATGGCAGGGCGCTTGCCAAGCACGGGGGAGGCACTGGGGTTGTTCTCAATGCCACATAAAAATAAATATATAAAATAAGGGGATTGTGCCCATCTACAACTGAAAACTTTTTTAAAATATATTTTTTAAAATCGGCTTTTGTGACTTGGAAGGCATTACATACAGCCCAGATGTCAGTAATGATTACAACACAAGTAAACTTTTGTGGAAAAAATAAGGTGAGTTCCATTGGTAGTTCTCAATCTTTACTTTTTTGTTTTGGTACTGGGATTGAACTCAGGGCCACTTGATCACTGAGCCCCATCCCCAGCCCTATTTTGTGTTTTATTTAGAGACAGGGTCTCACTGAGTTGCTTAGGGTCTCGCTTTTGCAGAGGCTGGCTTTGAACTCAAAAAAAAGTTCAGTTCCAAGAGGGAAGAGGACACCAGATACTATCACCAGGGGATGACCTGATCCACACATAAGATGAAGCAAGCAGCCCTATTTTGTGTTTTATTTAGAGACAGGGTCTCACTGAGTTGCTTAGGGCCTCTGCTTTTGCAGAGGCTGGCTTTGAACTCACCATCCTCCTGCCTCAGGCTTCCGAGTTGCTGGAATTACAGGCGTGAGACACTGAGCCTGGCTCAATATTTACTCCTAAAATTCCTTCTTCTTAGTGTTTTTAACACGACTTGACAATGATTTGTCCTCTCAGAAAATCAAATGTCCACTAACTTGGATAATTGGTTTAGAAAAATGAACCTTGAGTATTTCTTGGAATGTCAGCACTGAGACGTTCTCTCCCCAGCCAAATTCCCTTTTCCACCAGTCATCTACACAGACAAAATGGCCCTTGGAGTAAGAAGATCGTGAAACTCTTACTGAGGACTAGGTGTAAGATCTTGGCTAGGGTACTTCATTGCTCTAAGCCTCAGCTTCTTTCCCAGATACAACTAAAATCAGAATGGCACCTATCTCATAAATTTGTGATAAAGAAGAATGAAATAGCCCGGGTGCAGTGGCCCATGCCTGTAGTGCCAACAGCTTGGGAGGCTGAGGCAGGAGGATCAGGAGTTCAAAGCCAGCCTCAGCAACTTAGCAAGGCCCTGAGCAACTCAGTGAGACCCTGTCTCTAAATAAAATATAAAATAGGGCTGGGGATGAGGCTCAGTGGTTGAGTGCCCCTGGGTTCAAATCCTGGTACCAAAAAAAAAAAAAAAGATGAATGAAACAGTATAAATAGTATACTTGCAGTGCCAATAGTAATTTTTTAAAATGTTGGTTTGTAGCCACTTTTTGGCAGAATACATAATGTTCCAAAAGATAATCAGTGAGAATATTATTTCAGCGTCTTTTGAACATGTTATGAAGAAAGAAGAAGAAGAAACACATTTTTTCTATCACATGCTATACATACATTTATGGACATATTTAAAATATGTACTTGTGCCAGGTATAGTGGCACACACCTGTAATCTCAGAGGCTTGGGAGGCTGAGGAAGGAGGATGGTGAGTTCAAAGCCAGCCTCAGAAACTCAGTGAGGCCCTAAGCCACTCAGTGAGACCCTGTCTCTAAATAAAATACAAAATAGGGCTGGAGACATGGCTCAGTGGTTAAGCACCCTGGATTCAATCAGTATAAAAAAATCAGTACAAAAAAAGTGTGCTTTGGAATATGGATTTGGGAAGTCAAAAAGTGAAGGGCAATGGTCTTAGCAGTATAGGCAAATAAATAAATAAATAAATAGTGACAAATGCCTTGACCATTAAACTTGCTGGTGGTGGCAGTCTTGATGCTACACAAGCTCCCGGGCCTACTGTCTATGGGTATGTCCACCCAATCCCAGCTCATCTTGAGCAAGACAGAGGACTTCAGTGACATTCATCCAGGCTTGGAGGTCAGATCACAGAGCTGAATACAGTGAAGCCAGGAGACCTAAGATGCAGCCCTCTTAGTCATCGGTTGATGCTATCTTTAATTAAAGGGTTCACTTTAGAAATAGCACTTCCAAGAGGGAAGAGGACACCAGATACTATCACCAGGGGACGACCTGATCCACACACAAGATGAAGCAAGCAATCATGTGAGAAGCATTTGAAGAACTCCCTGTTGGTCTGGAAGGTTTTGTTGTTTGCACATACTATGAAGACCCTGAAGAGCTGGTTAATTTGTTGATGTAATTTTTTTTTTTTATACCAGGGATTGAACCCAGGGGCACTCAACCACTGAGCCACATCTCCAGCTCCTTTTTATGTTTTATTTTGAAACATAAAAATGTTACTTAGAATCTCACTAAGTTGCTGAGGCTGGCTTTGAACTCACGATCCTCCTGCCTCAGCCTCCCGAGCTGCTGGGGTTACAGGAGTGGACCACTGAGCCCACCCACTTGAGGGATGATTTTAATGATAAGCTATCATTAAGTAGAAAGCAACCAGGCTCAGGAGACAATAGTGGGTTGCCGTAGGACTGTTGATGGAGGAACAGGGATCAGCATCAGCTTTCCAAGGTATCTGCAATGACAGATCCCTGAGAGTGGCCAAACAGATCAGTAAGCAGCCTGTGACAATCTGGTCAGAATGAAAAGAGATCTAGTAGTGGGTACAGGCCCACTCCTTTATTTCCTGAAACCATAGGACATTAGCAAAAGTAAAGTTGGTAGGAAAATTTCAGATAATACAGAATATTTTGCAAATTCCATTTGTAAGGCAATTCTTGTAACCCTACACAGGAAGAAGCCCAGAAAAACAAAGTCACTAGAACACAGCAAGAAAATACAAGCAATTGCTGATGGGGTATATCACTGTCACAGCTTCAAAAAACTACTAAAGCTGAGCCCTAAAAATTAGCAACTTGCAACAGAAGATGCAGCTCTGCCCACACAGGAATTGGAATCACCACTTCATGCGTTTGAATCCTCACTTTGCCAAGTTTCAGCTGTGCAACCTTTGAAACATCACTAAACCTCTCTGAAGTTTCCATATCTATATGGAGCCTAGGGTATACCTACCTCACTGGAGGACTGAACAAAAGACAATGATACAGGGTGCCTTGCAAACTGCAAAAGAGCTACATCCCTGAAGTCTGGCTAATGAACCCATCTCACAGAGTTGGCATCTCCGCTTAAACAAGAAGCAAATACCTGAGGTGTCACACGTATGACTTCCTGGAGAGGGCTCCCTCTGGGGACTGCTACGCCTATAAATAATGTGGGGCTTGTTTTGCTCCTCTTCATCTTCTTGTTTGTCCACGGACAATAGCGGTTCAATAAAATAATCCCCATCATGGAACCGAAATGTGCCCAGCTGCAAATGAAGAGAGAAGTTGATTTAGCAGAATTTAGCCAATGGAAGGGAAAACAAAACAAAATAAACAATCCCAAGAAGAAACAGGCTCATTCTATTCAACCCCTTTCCTTCGTGGGCAGCTCTGCCCATGGAGGAATTGGAGTCCCTGTTTACAGTAAAAATACTGAAGCATGTGTGGAGAATATTTTCACCCTCTGCCATCTTGGTACCTTCTTTTCAGGGATTGAACCCAGAGGTGCTTAACCACTGAGCCACATCCCCAGTTCTTTTTTATATTTTATTTAAGGCCTCACTAAGTTGCTGAGGCTGGCTTTGAACTCATGATCCTCCTGCCTCAGCCTCCCGAGCTTCTGGGATTACAGGTGTGTGCCACCACACTGGGCAAGTGAGTTTCTTAACTGTACTGAGATGGAGCTTACTGTTTGTCAGGTGGAGATAAAGATGCTTTCCGTCAAGGACCATTGTGCAGATTAAATGAGAGAATGCAAATAAAGTGCCTGACACCTTAGAAGGGCTTAGAACTCATTAGTGGTTTCTGGTATGGCAGGATCCACCAGGGCTCCTACCAACCATGCTAAGCATCTTGAGAAAGGCCACTCTTTCTACTCCTAACAAGTTTTGCCAACCATCCATGATACCTCAAGCTCCCACCACCCAAATCAGATAATACTCCAACCATACTCCTTGTCGTGCCAGTGGGCGGTGTCTAAGAGAAGAAATCAAACTCTTCTCTTTCTCGGCCGTCCTGTTTCCCACACCAGAAAATAATAAGCAGGCTTCTGCCCTTCCTGGGCACAAGAGAAATGACTGTCCCCAAAGGCCAGCATCTGCCACATGCACAGCTTGTTAGAAATGCAAATGATTATACACCAACCCAAACCTGATCCACTGCATCAGAATCTCTGGGGCGGGCCCCAGGAATCAGATTTTAATGAGCCCCTAGGGTATTCTTAAAAATGATAACAGGTGAGAAGCACCAGCCCCCAAACCAGGTAATATCAAAATTGCCCCAGAAGTTCTGTTTTTTGATACTGGGAATTGAACCCAGGGGTGCTTAACCACTGAGCCACATCCCAGCCCTATTTGGTATTTTATTTAGAGACAGCGTCTCACTGAGTTGCTGAGGTTGGCCTTGAACTTGCGATCCTCCTGCCTCATTCTTCCGAGCCACTGGGATGACAGGTGTGGGCCACTGCACCTGGCCAGAATTTGTATTCTTAAGATAGTTTTCCACATGATTCAGGAGGACTTGTTTAAGGAGGAAACAGCTCTACTGTCATGGAAGAGACAGAGTGGCTGGTTACCAGAGGAGGCTTTTGAACACATTTCCTTTTACCCAGGGACCTATCTCTGAAATTAACATATAACTTCGGGGCTCTCTGAGCACAAATCAGGTAGATACACCAAATTCGAGAAATCTACCAGAGACAGGAGTACTGAAGAAAAGCCTGGGAATGCACGTGGAGAAGTTGGGCCACCTGCGGTTGGTCAATGGCAAAACCACGGCACAGTAAGGGGGTGATCTGTTCAGAGTTCCCCTCCAATGGTGAAGAAGCAGCCGGATAAGTCGAGAACTGAGGATTCCAACTAAAATAGGTGACTTTTCTATGAAAAATCCTGAAGTTCCCGTAAGAGCGCAGATGGAGTCTCTGACTCATGGTTCACAGCACGGAGCAGAAAGACCAGAGTGGGTCCCAACTGCCACTGACCAGCTGGGAGGCCTCGGGCAAAACTCCAGGTCAAAGCCTCAGTGTCCTTACCAGTAAAATGGGTTTTTGGAGCACTGTCCTCAGGAGGCTCTGGGTAAAGCAATGCATACAGTTAAAGTGCTTATTATGGTGCCAGGACAATAATAATATGGCACCAAAACTGATTTTGCCATTGGTTCACAAATAGCTGCTGGGCCAGAGTTACCTTTTCTTGGCTAAGGGGGTCCTTTTTCAAATGTACATATTAAGTACACACAGGATTGAGGGATCCAATGCCAGAGAAGAATTGATGGTGACCTGGCTACTAAGGATGAAGGTCTGTGCACCTGGGAACTTCAACGCAGGAAAGAATGCAGCAAGCATCACAACAGAGAGACAGCAGAGTGGACTGGAGAGATGCTATCTGTCTGCAGGGCTATGGGAAGGTCTCCCTGGGAAGAGGATGTACTTGACGCTTTAAGAAGAGTGTGTTTTGGACATGGGAAGCTGTAAGAAGTGATTCAGAGGGAATAAAGCAGATTGCCTGAAATATAGGATTTCAGGAGAAAAACTTGAGTGTGAGATGGCTGTGGTGTGAGGGAATGACATGTAAAAGATCTTAACTGCTCAATGAAGGAGTCTATGGTTGTTCACTAGACCATGGGGCAGAGTGGTGATGGGGGCTTGTGCTCAGTCATCATTCATCTGATGGTGGTGTGTATGGGAGGGGCAGGGATTTAGAGAAAAGACTGGAAGACAAGAGCCTGTGGAAGTTTGTCTTAGACAACAGTCCTAATGAGAGAATGGGATGGGGGAGGGGGGAGAGACGGGAAATAGAAGAGAGGTAGGGATGTTCAGAAGTAAGCAAAACACCTGAGCTGGAACTCTGGGGAACGGATAACTGACATGCAGGTGGCCCCGCCCACTCCAAGGAGTGGAAGACTTCCTGGACAAAACATCTGGAACATCCTAATTCCAAGGCTCCAAAAAACCGTAAGGAGAAATCTCAGAAGGAAATAAAAAATTGCAGAAGGAACACAAAGGGGCAGGGCGCTGGAACTAGATTAAGGCCTGAGGTACAGTGAGCACCTATCTTTAAGATCCATGTAGACTCTTTTCCCCAAACGAGGCAGATGACAAATCAAACGCAATATGAATATGATGGCCATTGCCCAGGGAGTGGCTTCGGTTCTCAGTTCCCCCCAAAGACCACGTGTTACCACCTAAAACTACCAATGGAAATGAAGGTTCTGCGCAGCAAAACATTCAAACCAGTGCTGGGGCCACCGGGCTTCAGCGGGGGGCGGAGGCGGGGAGAGAGGAGGAGTGAGGAGTGTTTACAAACTTGACGTGCACACGCAGCTCGAGTCGCAGGGACCAGGGATTGGAGGGTACTACCTTGAAACCTCGGGGCGCTGAGGCTCGCTGGGTCAGACGCCGGACTTTGCGCCCACCTAAGCCATCACCTGCTAAAGACCCAAGGGATCCCACCGTTCAGGCCCTAGGTCTCGGGGCAGCGATGACTCACTCACCGCAGCACCCCTCCCCCGCTGCCCAGCCACACTGCGGTCTCCGCCTACCCCCAATCTCCACGACGCGCTTCGGGCGCAGAGATCCCCGGCGTTTAGCTGGGGTGAGCAGGGGTTCAGCCCCTTCCCCACATCCCAGCGGGCTAGACCTCCTCCCTCCCCGTCTTCAAGCTGGCTTACCCCACCCTCGAGAGCCTTCCCTCGTGAGGAGGAGGATGCGACGTCCAGATCTGGAGCTTAAGACCCAAGACCGCAGCGCGCAACGGGGCTGCCGAGCGCCCTGGGTGAGTACTTAAGCCCCCACTTAGAAAAGATGGTGGGGGGAGTGTGGGTGCTCTGAGTGAGAGTAGACACATCATAGACGCAAGGTTTAATACCCAAAGGAGCGTACGACGCCACGCCATGAGCTAGGCGAGCCTGCCCGGGAAAGTTTCTGCGTCATACGCGCGTGGCAGAAACGCACGTCGCTTGGGAAAGTCAAGGATCATTCTGGCTGGGGCCAGAAGCGTACATCGGGTCCTCGGATGTTGTGGGAAGAGGGAGAGGATGCCCTATAGACCTAGTGGAGGGTAATGGGCTGGGGGTTGGGGGTGGGAAAGCAGGGGGCCCGGGTAAAAACTTGGATCCCCTGCCAAGTGCGTATCTGGCAGCTCCGGGAGGTGGTAGCCCCGTCCAGCCTCCCGAGGGAAACCTGCCCCGAGGATCCCTTCTGCCTACACTCCCAGGGAACCACCACGGGTTCCGAAGAACCAAAATCACGTCCGGGCAGTCTCTCTAAGCTCTGTCCCAATAATTCCTGCGTCTTGGGCCACCCCGCCAGCAGGGTGCAGAGTCGGACTGCGCTGCACCCCCACTCACGGCTTCCACCCTAAATCGCGGAGTTGGAAGCAGGCTCCGCCCTCTCCCCGCCCTCAGAGCCTTTGGCCCGCCCTTCCGTTCCCGGGACGCGACCTGCTGCCTGTCATTCCGGTTCAGTTTTAGGATTCTTTGCGCTTGATAAAAGGTCCCGGGAGAAGGCGGAGAATCCAGATTACTCGCCTCAGTCCCCCAAACACTGAGAAGGAATTCCCAGTACCCCTGGCTGGGAATTGTCAATCCACAATCCCGACCCAGGATGCGCCAATGAGGAGTCGGGTCCGCCCTGCGCTCAGCTGCTCCGCTCGCGGGCAGCCAAGTTGGTTGCAACAAACCACAACTCCAGCAACTTTCTCCGAGTTTGGAAACCGACTTTCAGGCCGCCTTGCAGCGTTGGGCAACGCACAGCTGAGCCGACTCTGGCCCCTAGAAAGCCCCCTAAACATCCACCAGCCTCTCGGGGCGGGTGCGTGCGATCCTTGGGTGTGTACGTGCACGCAGAGCGAGCAGCCCCCAGCCCCAGGGACCCAGACGAGTTTCTGGCTGATACTGAAGGCCAGAGTGGAGACTCGGTGCAGGGAGCGTCTGTCTCCGGGCCTGGAGAGCAATTAAGTCTTAAAGAAGCAGGCGACGAGGCGGGAGGGCAGGGCAGGGGGCACGCGCCCACTTACCATTCCCGAGCAGAGACTGATGACGGCCGCGTGCTCGGGCTTGGTATTGACATGGCCTTTGTAGAAACAGTGCTTGAGTTCTGCTTCCTCTTCGGAATAAAACTTGGTCTGGTTCACCCCGGGCGCCCCGAGGAGGGTGACAGTGAACTGTGGAGCGATAAATCCGGCATGGGCGGTGAGATTAAATAGAAACTGCTGGCCGAAGGCGGAGAGGCGGTAATGCGCCTGGGAGGAGGTAGAGGAGGAAGAGGAGGAGGCGAAGGCAGGCCAGGGGTCAGAGGCAGAGTTAATGCTCCGTCGCCTTCTTTTGAAGTGCACGTTCGCTGGAAAGGGTTCTCCTAGAGCGTTCACTCTGGTGGGAGAGGCGATTTCGTATTCGCTCAGGGTCTCTAATAATTTCACTGCAGAGAGAAGCAGAGGTATATGAGCCAATAGTCCATTTCCCTGCAAGTTTTCATTTTAAAACGAAGATGGGGACTTTGTCCGGACTTATTTTCTAGACCATTTGACTCGACCCGTTCACCCTTTATCATGGGCAAATATTTGCTGAGCACCTACTATGTAACAGTAACAGTCAAGAGCAATGCTGGGCGCAAAGGATACAACCACTGGAAGTCAGACAATGAACGAGTCAAGATACATAAGATAATTTCAGATCTTTGATGAATGCCTTGAATAAAATAAAACGTGCGCTATCTGGTGGCTCCAGTTACTTAGTAACTTTAATTTGAGGCGTGGGTTAGGGAAGGTGAAAGATCAGGCTAGAAGCAAGGGTGGGGGGGGGGACGACTAAATTAAAGCTTGTCCCTAACAATTGGCTGGGGGATGACCCAAAGAAGGAGAGGTTCCAAAGAGGGAGGTAATTCTTTCTAGGAAAAGGAAAGGTCTCCGCTGCGGGGTGCCCCCGCCCGGGAGCGAGTTCAGGGAGGCAGCGACCGAGCCAAAGGGGTTCCCAGGGGCCAGAGCCTCGTTTACCTTGCCTCGGGTGCAGCCTGTCCTTGCGCACGGCCGCCGCGGCGTCAGGGCTCCCCATCTCGGCCAGGTCCCGCACCAGGAGCGTTAGCAGTGTGGCCCAGGATACAAACTGCATGGTGCTCCCCACCCCTCCCCCCTGCCCCCACCCCCCCCCTCCGGCCCGCCTGGGCTGCGGCGGCGACGCGAGGCAGCAGCCGTGGAGAGCGCGCGGAGCCCGGCGCGGCCGCCAACTTTTGACTTTAGGAGTCGCTGAGGTCGTGCGGTGAGGGTCCTGTCTGCGCTCGGCTGAGCAACGCTGCCGCCTGCCGAGAGCTGAGCCGCTCGGGCCGCAGGAGGAGCCGGAGGAGCAGGAGAAGGAGGAGGAGGACTGGGGCTCCGCTGCTCGGCCGCATAATGTCCAGCGATCGGGCGCGGAACG